CCAGTGGATGGACCCACACTGAAGAACATTTAGAGACACAAAATAAATTCAATAGACCATGTATAAACATATATAATAGAGTATATTAAATTGTGCTCAGGGCAATAAGGAGAGGTGGGAATAAGGGAGGGTACCTAAATACCATCAAATTATATTTTATGAAATTCACAAAAATTCAATTTAAAAAAAGTAAAAGCTAGTGCTATTGTGCATTTGGACCTTAAGAAGTTTGACTTCATATTAATATGACCTATAGCGTCTGATTTGTGTCCTCAAATGCCCTTCACAGTGTGGGTCCATCCACTGAGCCCACCAAGAGTCCCGTTCCTGTAAGACACTGTCTTTGCCCCATCTGCAGCCATCAATTGGCAAGAGTTCCTTAGGTTGGGATTTCTTAACCACTTCCCCATGTCCATGCTGAGATTTTGTCTGGTCTGAGCTTGCATAGGACATGTACACATCGTCAACACTGCTATGAATTCATATGAGTAACTGACCAGCTGTCTGGAAGACTGTTCTCTTGTGGTTACCCACTCCCTAAACATTCTGAAAACAAACAAGAAATAATCACAAAGTTCCATAGGGAAAATCTTGAGGTGATAGATATATTGATCTATCTTGTTTCCTATATTAGTAAGGCACAAATGCTTGCATATGACCAAACGAATCAAATTGTGATTAAATATGTGCAGATCACCACCCATGTATCAATAGAACTTGAATAAACTGTTACTAAACTAACTTTTCCACCTTAAACCATTTGATATTGTTCTTTTTATTTTCTTATTTTTTTATGTGCATGAGTGTATTGCCTGCGTGGAGGTAGATGCATCCATGTCATGCAATGTCTGGGAGGTCAGAAGAGGGTTTTGAATCCCCTGGAACTGGAGATACTGATGATTATTAGCCGCCACGTGGGTGCTGGGAATTGAACCTGGATCCTCTGCAAGAGCAGCCAGTACTCTTAACCGCTGAGCCATCACTCCAGCCCCTCATTTGGTATTTGTCTTTTGATGCATTTATGTCTAAGAAGAATCAAAGAGGTACTGAGACAACAGATGCAGGGGAGGATTTTAAGAATTCTCCAACAAGACCTAAGCCCTGTGCACATGGGTGGTGTTAGCTAAGCAGAAGATTAAGAAGTAGAATTTAAGAGAATGGTGCCAGTGATTCTTCAGAGGATGTTGGTTGGAACTCCACAAATTCTGTCAAAGTTCCATGCTGAACAAAAGATAACATAGTTTCTTTGATGAGAATCAGAATTTCCTGAAAAAGCCTGAGAGCACAGGGAAAATTCAACCAGCCAATGGAAAGAGAGAGAGAGAGAGAAAGAGAGAGAGAGAGAGAGAGAATGCATTTTGTAGTCTGTTTTAAGCTACTATAACAGAATACCACACTTTATGTAATATATAATGATCAGAAACTTCTTTGGCTAAATTTCTGGAGACTAGGATGTCCAAGGTTAAAAGACAACAGCTAATAATGGTCATCTTGCTGTATTGGAGATTATAGGACCGAAAACAAAAAACAGTAGACATACAGATGGAGCTTAGCTTATCCATATGTTAGGAACCTACATGTGATAATGAACATACTTTCATAACAGAATCATTAAATTGACTTCATACTATTGTCCTTTAAAGGTCTCACATCTCAACAATTTTTCACTAACAATGAAGTTTCCAAAGCATCAACTTTGGATACACATATCATCCATACCAACATGGAAGCTTAGCATCTTATTAAAAGTAAAACAAGGAGAAATGTTAAAATAAACAAGAGATTTTACAACAGATAACTGTGGCTTACCTGGAACTAACAATATCAACTCCCAGGCATTTTTAAGTTTTTCTAGATCAAATTGGCCCATAAATGGGATGTTTGCCCTCAGCTAACCAGAGAGTTAGCAGAAAACAAATGTCAGACAACAAGTTCCTCCTAACTTTGGCCCATGATAAGCAATGCCCCTCTAACCGCTACTGCACAAAGTTCTGTGTGAGTGTGTTTTCAACTCTGGTGGATATGTTTCTAACAGTGAAATTTCTGGGCCAGATAGTGTTTTTTATTTGAAATGTTGCCTGATCATTTTCTGAGAATTCTTAGCATTTTTAAGTCTCACCAGTAATGCATTAAAATCCCTATCTCCGCACATCCTCCTCAGTACTTGTCATTTTATTATAATCGTCCCTATTAATGTGAAAATCTATTTCACTATGGCATTCATTTTAATTTCCTTAATAATTAATGATAATGCATATATTTTCAGATACTTAATAATATTTTGTCTTGTCCAATAGAAACATGACCATTCAAATCCCCTGGCCATGTTCACTGCATAATTTGTGTTTAATGTTTAAATGTTCTTTACATCTACTAAACCTTCTTCCTTTCATAATAGTTGGAAATATTTTCCTACTCTATTTTCTTTACAATTGATGGACAGTTCTTTATGTGCATGTAACACATGTGTGTGCTGTATGTGTACATGTGTATGCATAGCATATGTGTGTGGTCTATGTATGTGTGTGTGTGTGTGTGTGTGTGTGTGTGTGATATGTGAAGGTCAGAGAAGATATCAGATTTCCCACTCTATCATTTTACAGCTTATTCATTTGAAATAGGGTCTCTCACTGAACCAGGACCTAGGCTGGCAACAGCGAGCACCAGTGACTCTGGTTTCAGTCCCCTACAGGAATGGGGTGGAGAGGCATGCCCAGGAATACACCTTACTTTCTACATGGGTTCTGGGATTCAAACTCGGGTCCTGATGCATGCACAGAAAGCACTCTTACTCATTAAAGCACCTCCCATGGCCCTGGATGCTGTGTTTAAAGGTGCCATTTATTTTCATTTTTTTCTTATCCATTGCTCTTTTTTTCTATCAAAGCCTCTGATTCTGGGCTCTTATCCAAGAAAACATCCAGCTCCAATTCCAAGATCACAAAGATCTAGTCTTATATTTTATCTAATATTATTAAAATTTTATCCCTTATATTTAGTGATAGGGACTCTTTTCATTAATTTTTGTATCTGGTGTCAGAAAGAGTTACATATTAATTCTTTTACAAATATCTACATGACTGTCCATTTCTTGAAAATAAAACACTTTCTTTCCTAACTGAATTATCATGAAACACTTTTGAACAACTTAATTTGTCATGATGTAAGTTCATTTCTAGATACCATTTTTTTTCAATTTACCTATAAATTTATCATATAACAAAATTGTAATATGGTAATAAGTTTTAAAGTGTGAAAAATTAGGAATCTTCACTTTACTTTTTTCCTTAAAATTTGTTATTATTCTAAAGTGTTTATGTTTTCACAGGTATTTTATGATTAGCATGTCAACACTTGCAATGAAAATCAAGGATTTTAACCAGATTACATAAACTTGCACATCAAGGTGAAATAAATTGTCAATTTAATGATATTGAATAGTTTTTGTTGTTTGTCAATTAATTTTTTTGTGTTTTTCATACAATATAATTTGATGGTATTTAGATCCACTCCCCTATATAATAAGACCTATGGAGTCAAAATGTCCTTCAGTGTCCAGGGTCCATCTACTGAAACCTAGTTGACCTACCAAGAGTCCCATACTTGAAAGAGACTGTCTCCGTTCCTCCCATCAGCCATCTGTTACCACAATTTCCTTAGAAAAGGTTGGAGCTTCTTATCAACTTCCTCATGTCTATGCTGGAATTATTTCTGGTTAGAGCTTACATGGGACTGGTGGATGTTGCCAAATTGATATGAGTTCATGTGACTATCCAGCTATTTGGAAAACTCTGTTTCACTGTGGTCATCACCCACCTCTGGCTCTTACAATCATTCTGCCCTCTCTCCCACAATGATCCCTGAGTCTAAGGAGGCAGAAATTTGAAACAAGTATCTTATTCAATGATAAGCACTCTTCAGCCTCTTGTTCTCCGCACATTGGTCAGTTGTGAGTTTCTGTGTTAATCACCATCTGTTGCATAAGAAAACTTCTACAGTGAAAGTTGTGAAATGCATTAATCTATGACTATAACAATTTAAGAGTCAGTTTAATACAATAACTATTTAATAAAAAACTAAAATTTGGTTCTCGCCTATGTCCCGTGACATGCCTAGCTTCAGGTTCCTAAGCCTAATATCATTTTTATTCATAAAACAGGATGTCTTTTCATTTACGTAAGACTTTATCATTCCAACAATGTTTATAGTTGCAATAGAATATTGTATTTGTTGTATTTAATTGGTTTGTGTTTTGGTGTTTTTCAATAATATTGTGGAGGGATTTTTATGGCTGGTGCATTTATTTCTTGGCCTTGTCCCACCATATTGCTGACCTTTTAAATTAAATCTGATAGATTAAATTAAATAGCTCTTTCTTATAGATGTTTTAGTATTTTCTATATATAAGATCAATTCATTTAAACTTAGAGGTTATTTTATTTTTGTTTTCCAAAATGAATGCACATTATTTCTTTTTCTTGTCTAATTGCCCTAAACCTCTATTGTTAAGCTGAATAAAGGCAGAACGTATATTTAATTCATTGTTCGCTGATTTGTGAAAAACTCTTTCAATTATCAACAGTATGTGTGGAAATGTGGGGGGGGGCGTGTGTATGTGTGTGTATGAATGCTGTTGTTATTGTAGCACAGAAAAGCAATTTCTCTGTAGAGGCATTGAATGGATTATAAATAAGGCATTTAAAGTCATTAGCAAACTCAATTGAAGACATCGTATCTAATATTTGGATATTCAGGGCTTGGTAATCTAATGTTCTTCTACTATAGAAGGCAATAAGAACTGGTCTGACATTTATTTACATGTGCTAAAAATTGGTGATCCCAGTGCTATAACTACTAATATATATGAATAGACACGAAAAAATTGGAGATGTCTGTCATAAAAACTCTTGAATTTGTTTCCCTTCTCAGTATGTGATAGGATAATAAATATCTATCTCAGTTATTTTTCGTGTTTTTCTACACAGAATTACTAGAGGAAAATGTTAGCAGAAAATCTCTCCACAGTGACGGAGTTCATCCTTGCTGGGTTAACAGAGAAACCAGAGCTGAAACTGCCCCTGTTCTCCATCTTCCTTGGAATCTACATGGCAACAGTGGTGGGGAACGTGGGCATGATCATCCTGATCCTGCTCAGCTCCCACCTGCACACCCCCATGTACTTCTTCCTCAGCAGCCTGTCCTTCATTGACCTCTGTTATTCCACTGTTATTATCCCCAAAATGCTAGTGAGCTTTGTGTCAGAGAAGAACGTCATCTCCTACCCTGGATGCATGACTCAGCTCTACTTCTTCATTACCTTTGCTATAGCAGAAGCTCACATGTTGTCTGCAATGGCATATGACCGCTATGTAGCCATCTGTAAGCCCCTGCTTTACAACATTAAGATGTCCTATCAACTGTGCTCTTGGATGATATTTGGCGTATACAGTATGGGACTGATCGGTGCCACGGCCCACACAGTCTGCATGCTAAGAGTGCATTTCTGTAAGGCTGTTATCATAAACCACTACTTCTGTGATCTTTTTCCACTATTAGAACTTTCCTGCTCCAGTACTTTTATCAACGAGATACTAGTTCTCTGCCTCAGTGGTTTTAATATCCTTTTTCCAACACTGAGCGTCCTCAGCTCTTACATCCTCATCATTGTCAATATCCTTCACATCAAATCAACTGAGGGAAGGTTCAAAGCCTTCAACACCTGCAGCTCACACATCTCTGCAGTTGTTGTTTTCTTTGGTTCAGCTGCATTCATGTACCTGCAGCCATCCTCAGTCAGCTCCATGGACCAAGGGAAAGTGTCGTCTGTGTTTTACACCATTCTCGTGCCCATGCTGAACCCCCTGATCTACAGCCTGAGGAATAAGGATGTCAAAGTTGCTCTAAAGAAGTTACTTGAAAAAAGTTTATGAAGAATTTAAAATATTGTTCTCTATCAAAATGTCATGAGTTTTCTTATCTCTCCTTATATAGTCTCTCAGTTTCTTGCAAGCTGGATACTTCCTTTCTATTTTAGGGCCTATTCTACATGGTATGTTTGGGTTACTTTCTGTCTGATTCCTTTAATCTTTAAAGCCTCAGAAAAAGGTGTGCTCTACCCTGCTTGGTACACTCTGCAACCAGGAGCAGCACTGCAGTCCTTATTTCCCTTCATCCATCATAACTACGTGAACCTTGCTATAGTGAATCTGAAAGAGCTTCTTTCTCCTAACAGGTACAAAAATACTACAGACATTGTCATCAGCTTGTTTTAAAATACATGACAAGGAATTCCAATGCCTTACCCAATTATTTCATCCTTTAACTCTGATTCTTAGGAGAGCAGAGACCATTTCCTGTACTAATCACTTCTTATTGTCATAAGATTTTCTTAACATACAAAAATATTCTCATGTGTTTATCCATCTACAGCTGTGCATATGTTATATGATACAAATATGTATTCTAATGTAAAACATGTAAATGTGAAAACTGCATCTATGTTCCTTGGATCTGCTTTACAAGTTTTA